GGTCCCCGTTACAACGCAGCTGGGCAAGTGTGGCGGCGCGGAAGGGGGGTGACGCTGTGGCTGCTTACGGGTCAATGCTGAGCCGATCGGACACAACTTAAAAAACAGAAGCTGGCAGACTGACCTCTACTTAGGAGTTTTGCTCAAGCATGAGGACGTTGTCAAGGAGGCATACGGGACAGAGATCGCTAGGCTCTCAGAAGAGAGGCCAAATGTTTTTGAGACGGCAGGAGGCACATCACTAGGAGGCAGCAGAGCAGAAAGGCAAAAAATCTACCAGATCAGGCTCCTTTTGACTCTCAGAAAGCCAAGATCTGGGGCCTGGTACCTCCAGAAACAGGCCCAACAGAGACATGTGCCTAGAGTTACTGACTTTGAAGTCATTACTCAAACCAGTTCTGAAAGAGCAACTGCAAAGTTTATCTTGCTGACAAAGAACAGGCACAAAATGGATCGGCTTCACATTGCTCCAATTTTACCTTACGCGTTCTCGCGGACAACGCCGAGGTTTTAAAATCAGTCTGACAACAGAATACAGTAAAACCAGCTTTGCGTACGACATGACATCCAGCATTCTGAACGACATTCCAGCAGCTCGTACTGTACGACACCGGCACGCCAGGCAGCGGGCCAGAAGCCAAACCCGTTGGTGACGTCCTGCTTACGCGCTTCACTCTCCGCGCGGGCGACCGCCAGCAGACCCGGAGGACGCCGAGATGAACGGCAAAGCTGCCGTGCCGAGCGGCTTTGCTGCCCAGAAGCACGGGGCCACCAAAGGGCAGCGTGGTTCCAGCGCTGTCGCCCCGTCTTCCCGCTGCCTGGCAGCAGCCAGGACACTTCTCCAGCCCCAGCAACCCTTCCCACCCCAGCTCAACCCACGGGCAGTTTGTTCACCTCAGCCACAGCAAAAGGGTAAATCTTAGGTTTCTATAAGATGCTTTGCTGGCCAGCAACGCCCATGGTTGGCACGTCCTCGGTCATTCCTCCCAGTCGTCCATTGCCCACTCGGGCATCCTGGAGCAGTACTCAAACTCGGCTCCCTTGTAGCGCAGGGCATGGAGGTACATCACCAGCTCCTTGGGAGATGGGTCCCGCCTCGTGATTTTACACTCTGCACACAAAGGGTCCTTCTCCTCTGAACTCTTTTCTCCCGCTTGCCCACCCTGATTCTCACATGAACCGAGTTCTTTATATTTTTCAAGCGTTTCCAGATTGGTACCAGAGTTCAGCGGGTGAGCTGCTACGTCATTTCTCTCGGGATCTTCCGCGTCCTTCTCGGGATCCTTGGTGTCCTCGGCAGGGCAGGAGTTCTCACTTACAGGACCAGCCTGTGCAGACCTTGCGCAGTCACCTGAATTACCAGAGTCTTCATTTTCAGCACTGGAGTTCAAGTCCTGCTCTGAAATACCCAGGATATCCAGGCTCTGTTTGGAACGGTGCTCCTCTACTAGCGCCTTCAGGAGTTCCTCGTCCGTTTTACCGATCTCGCCACCTTTGCCCCTGGCAGGGCCCCAGGCCGCCATGTTGTAGATGGGGTCGTTGACAATAGGGTGCCCCAAGTACTGCAGGTGGACCCGGATCTGGTGCGTGCGGCCGGTACGCGGGAGACACCTGACTACGCTGGTCTTGCCGTTGTAACTGAGCCTCTGGAAGATGGTTTTGCAGAATTTCCCTTTGGGGTCCACGCGACACACTCCCACTTTGTAAGAAACCACCAGTATGGGCTCTTCGCAGACCACTTCGTGTTCTGGGAACTCCCCCACCACACGACAGACGTACTCCTTCTCCAGCTACGGGGAGACACAAGAGTAACTCACAGAAAACAGAACAGAAAACTGTCTCTGTCCTGATCACACCCGAGCCTCATCCTAGCTGCTGCTCTCGTTCTCTTCAATGAAGTACATTCGTAGGCAACGTACTGCCCAAGTTTTATTACAACCCAACAGGAAAGGGAAAAAAATAAAATCAGCTATCTAAAGCCAAATTTCTCTCCCGCTGTCCCCACCCAGTCAGGAAGCCAAGAACACAAGGGCCTGGCCTCTTTTCCTCCTACTAAATTCAAGAGCCACCTCTCAGTGACCTTTGATTTATGGCCTTGAAGCAAATCCTCGAAGCTAGCACCCTACAGCGACAGCTCAGTTTGGGTCAAGAGCCACAGGAGAAATGAGAAAAACTTCTACAACTTTTAAAATTGGAAAAGCATTAGATGACTGATGTATTTCTACTTGCAAATAAAACTGCTCTCTAAGCGTTCTGCACCATCCCAGTCGGTTTGCGCAGCTCCTTGGGGGAGAAGGAGGTCCCTTTCAGTCTAATATTCCCACGTCAATTAAATTTTTAGTCAGTGTTTTTCTCCTGATGCCTCGCATGCTCAGTACAGTAAGAACAGGAAGGTCAGCACAAGTTGTTTCGGGAACTTGTGCTCATCTAGACCAGAAATTTGGCTGACTTTGGGCCTGTTTAAGAAAATACCAGGCAAGAGACCCTCAAATACAGCAGCCCTTAGCTCTCACCTGTCTCTCGCGAACCTGCTCATCGATCCTCTTGGATACCGCTGCGGTCTTGGCAAACATAAGCACTCCCGAGGTCATGCGATCGAGCCGGTGGATGGTATGCAGCTCCTTCAGATCATGCTCTTTGCCCAGGATGAAGATGACCGTGTTGTGACGAAACCTGCCGCAGGGATGCACAGGCAAAGAGGAGGGTTTGTCCACCACCACCACCTCATCGTCCTCCACCAGGATCTCGATGGGCTGGGCAGTCACCGGCGGCTCATGGCGATGCACCGTGTTCCTGAGAAAATCGTTATTCTGCAAGAAGGACGGACAATCAGCGCGAGCCCGGCTGGCGGAACCACCCCGTGTGGCCACGGGCAGGGGGGAAACGAAACCCCGCTTGTCCTGGAACCCGGGGCTTCGTGGAACTCTGCTCGTCGAC